GAGAAAAAGGCAGAAATGATGGGGAAAAGGGGATGTCATTTTTCTAAGTAAACCCACCCCCCCAAACCTGGGGGGTTTGCTACAGATAGATAGAGGTGGGGTAGCAGGTGGGTGAGAAGCTTCTGGGATGCTCTTCTCTCTGTCTCCTCTGCCCCATCCCCCCCCATCACCCATTCTACCCTTAGATTTTTTCCCTGCCACCCCAATTGTTCCATCTGTCCCCTTTGGCCCCTCCACCCCTGGATCGCTGTCCTACTCTCCCAGTCAGCCCAAGAGTGGCAGACACCAGTTCTCTCCTTCCCCCCATCTGATCCTGCAGTGTCTTCCCAGGATCTGCCCCCACCAGGCCCTACCACTGAAGAGGAATGGGAGACGATAGGTGGGGGAATGGAGAGGAATGTAGAACTAGTGATAGAATGTAGCTGGTAAAGTGCAGACAGTTTACCTGGAGTTATTAGATGTTAGGCAGGTTATAATGTGCCATAAATCTAATGTCTATATGTAGCCCATGATTTTTTGTATCCAGTAGATTTATTTAGTGAAATTCGTAGGCTTGTCTATGAAAGGTGCTTTGTAAATATCCTTTGAGGATTAGAACTGAGAGATTGGAGAGAGTGGTTGTCTTGTGAAAAGTGTGCACCCACAGATAATGGGGTATTTTTGTCTCTGATAGATTTTTGGTGTGTGATCATTATGGGTATGCAGTTGTTTGGTTTCTCCTACATATTTTCTATCAGGGCATTTAGTGCACTGGATAAGTTTGCATACCAGAAACAGTATAGCATTCTTAAGGCAGCACTCCTACCAGGCTAATTATATTACATTTCTGGAGGTCCAGGAATGGTGATGGTTCTGTTGTGGTGTAGTTATTGTGGGAGTGGTAGAGATGTGTTGGCAGGTTTTATAATTCTTGTCATGGCACAGTCTGGATCCATTCAGTGTAATTTGGGCTATAGAAAGTTTGCTTCTGGTGATGAGGTTAGTAAGGTTTGGTCAGGGCCAGATTAATGCATAGGCAAACTAGGCACATGCCTAGGACTCTGAGCTGTGAGGCAGCCTGGTTCTTCCCTCCGCAGCAGCAGCACGAATGGCCCCATCTACCTCCCTTCCCTTCTTCCCCTCCCTTCTTCTGGCCTGTTCGCTGTGGTGGCTGCTTCCTAATGGCAGCTCTGAGCCCTGCTCCCCATGGGCAGCAGTGCTGGGGTGGGGAGGGGGGGGTCTCGGCTGGCCTGGGTCCCACAAGTTTGTTTGCCTAGGCCCACTAAAGGATTAATCCAGCCTGGGTTTGGTGCTTT